CAAGAACAAAAACAACCGCATGTGAGAACCCCAGGACAGCAGTGCAGTTGAACAACCCAGTGGGGAGCTGTTAGGAAGAAGTAGGCCAGCAAATGCAAGATGGCAGAGGCAGGCCCCGCTGCTGGCCAGCAGGTGTCCTAAAGATGTAAAAAAATGACCTTGCAAAGCCTTTCAGAGGTGTGCCAGATAACAAGAGGAAAGCCAGTGGCATGATGTGTGCTTTTGATATTCCTCTGTGATGGAGCAGACAGGCAGCAAGCACACCTGTGAGTTTCGTGGGAGAGCTCCAGTTTCACAGGTTCTGGGTGATTATCTGTTGTACGACAAGATCACATGTGCAGATTTCTCTTTCGGAGAACATAAAATCAGCACAATTATATCATGCCTTCTCTTACTAAAAGGAGAGGTAGACTGTTAACCCTAGTGTCAAAAAAGAGAAACTTCAGATTTTCTATTCAAACTTAAAGCTACCTGTTAGGGGAAATGTGAAGAAAAGATGCAGAGAAATGTCCACATGAAGGTGGGTGGGGAAAAAGATGGAAACTGACCTTACATCATTTCAGAGCCCCTCAAGAGCCGGGGAATGAGGTCCTCAATCAAAGCCCAGGGTGTGTTTCCAGGTGAGACAACTCTCCCTGGATAGGTATAGGAGTGGAAGATACGAAAGTGTCTGGCAGGAGAACTTATATCAGCAGCAGAAAATTAAGGGATGAGTCACTCAGATTCAACTTGGGAAATACACTCTCCAGAAAGCAATAGAGATGGTGTGCTTAGTCTGTTTTCTGATGCTATTACATAATACCCAAGATTGGGTACTTTGTAAAGAAAAGACTGTAGTTAGCTCCCAGTTCTGGAGGTCCAGGCCAAGAGCATGGCATCAGCATCTACTCAGCTTTTGGTGAGGACCTCATGCTACTTCCACTCATGGCAGAAAGCAGGAGGGCAGAGGAAGTATGCCAAAGAGAGAAAGGGGCACAGGGGGCCGAGTGCTTTATAACAACTCACTCTCATGATGACGAATCCACCCTCGTGGGCACTATGTCCACCCCGTCATGATGCATCTTAGAGACAGGTTTCAAGTGAAGTATGGAGGTGACAAACTATATTTACCATAGCTAAATAGTGAACTTAGGTGTTGTGACTTTTTAAAAAAATTTTACATTATTTATTTGAAAAGCAGAGAGAGAGAGAGAGAGAGAGAGAGCAAGCTTCCAAGCATTGGTTTACTCCCTAAATGCCCACAATAGCTGTGGCTGCTCCAGGCCAAAACCAGGAGGCCAGAACACAATCTAGGTCTCCTACATGGGTGGCAGAGACCCAGTTACTTGAACCATCATCCACTGCCTCCCAAGATATGCATTAGCAGAAAGCTGGAATCAGAGTGGAGCTATGGCTCCATCCCAGGCATTCCAATATGGGACGTAGGTGTCACAAGCAGCATTGTGTGCTAAACCAAATGCTGGTGTTGTGAGTTATAATGGAGGTGAGGCAGTAGAGGGTAAGGGGTGGGGTGGAGCAGTGGGGAGACTAAGGGGGGGAACTAAAAGGAAATGTAAAAGAAAATTTGCTGTTGGAATCCTTGCTCTTTCTGTTTTAATTCTCCTATGGTGTGAACTTGGTAATGACTTGGAGTGGGATTGACACAGGACTCTCAGAACCTGTGCACTCTCCTCCTCAGTTTGGAAGGCCGTGTAGCAGAGGGGTTAAGAGCCAAGTTGCTAGAGTCAGCCGGCCTAAGTTCAGACTGCAGCTCTGTCATTTACCCAGCTGTGGCACCCCGAGGGGCCATCATGGGCAGAAACTGGCACTGACCTCTAGGTGTTTCATTTTCTCCACAAATAAAAATGGGGATAATAACACAAAACTGCAGTCATACAATCTGAAGAGCTTGGATAAACAAGTTTTTTTTTAAAGATTTATTTATTTTACCTGAAATGCTGAGTTACAGAGACAGAGAGAGAGAGAGAGAGAGAGAGAGAGAAAGTCTTCCATCTGCTGGTTCACTCCCCAGATGGCCATAACAGCCAGAGCTGCAGTGATCTGAAGCCAGGAGCCAGGAGTTTCTTCCGGGTCTCCCATGCAGGTGCAGGGGCCCAAGGACTTGGGCCATCTTCTACTGCTTCCCCAGGCCATAGCAGAGAGCTGGATTGGAAGTGGAGCAGCTGGGACTCGAACCGGCACCCATATGGGATGTCGGCACTGCCGGCGGCTTTACCTGCTATGCTAAAGCACCGGCCCCCCAAGTTTTTTTTATGTTTTAAAAATGTATTTGTATAAATTTGAAAGGGAGGGAGTATGGGAAGGAGGGAGGAAGAAAGAAAGAGAAAGGAGAAAGATCTTCCATCCATTAGTTCACTCCCCAAATGCCTGCAACAGTTAGGGCTGGGCCAGGCTGAGGCAGGAGCACAGAACTCAATCCAGTCCTCCCATGTTGGTGGCAGGGACCCAGGGACTTGAGCCATCACCTGCTGTCTCTCAGGGTGTGCATCACAGGAATTTGCATGGGAAACAGCGTGAGAACTCAAACCCAGGCACTTGGATATGGGATAGGGGCGTCCCAAGTGGCATCTTAACCACTGCACCAAACACCTGCCCCATGTTATTGGATGGCAGGACCTGACCCGAGTGGATGCAAGGCTGCTCATGGTTTCATTCTGCTGCCTACTGGGAATATCCATAGGTTTCACTGCAGAACTAGGAATGTGTTTGGTTACAGGACGCTGCTCCATACCACATTTGGGGTGTTAGTAACAATGCAGCCTATGCACAATTTTTACCTTTTGAAAAATGGGAAAAAATTACAAATTTCAGAACACATTGACTTTGATGGCTTTGGATCTGCCTCACTGGGTTACAAAAAGAATTAAATGTGTCAATTCACAGCCAGCACTTAGAAGAGTACCTGAGTTACATGTTGGTAGCTTAACAAGTGTTCGTCATCCTTACTGTCCCTATGTCCTTTCCCGAGGCCTACCTTGTAGAAGCTGTGGGTTGAGCAACTGCCAAGATAATACCAGGGATGGTGATTTACTAGGCGGCTGCCAGGCTCCCCACCTGAGCCTGGACCAGGCAGGCACTAGGTTTGGGACTTGTTTTAGGCATGCTTGGGGGACTGCTGATGGTGAGGGTTCTGGAAACTGAGGAGCCAAAAACCCTCGGAGGGGGGGTGAGGCATCCTAAAAAGAGAATGAAGGGATGCAGATGTAGTGCAGAAAGACCAGGGGCCCAAGTGAGAGGTGTGATTCGGAGTCCTGCAGGGTACTCCTGCCTCCACAGGCCAGATCCCCGCAGACTTCTCCTGAGACCTGGCCAAAGACGATGGCAGGGTCTTGTGGACAGAGCACCTGCCTGGGAATGCCTGCACTGGCAGCATCCAGTCGTCCAGTGGCTTCAGCTCCTACATGGCAGGCAGCATGGCTACAGGCACCAGCCGCATGCACAGTAGTGGCCCCCATGGACCTTGGCAACCTTGCTGCCCTTTGCCATCCATAGTCACTGGAGGGAGTCGCGTGTGTATGTGTGTGTGTGTGGGGGGGGGGCAAGGGGTATGAGGAAGAGCCATGGAAAGGAAGAACCAAAGCAGCACTGTTCAGTGAACTATTTTGTGTCTCTTTTTCACCCCTAGACCCTTATAACCCAGGAAGCAGAGATTTCAGAATAAAGGAAGGAAAGAGAATTTAGTGGCTCAACGTAAGAGATCACATTTGAACTGAAACTAAGATACTCTCAAATCTGTGCTTTTCCGAGCCTGGGATGTCCAACCTGCCACAGCCCACAGGCCAAGGCAGCCAGAGGGAGACACGTGCTAATGGCAGGCAGGAAGTGAGATATGAGCCTAGGTGTGTGAGAGGAGCCTGAGGAAAACAAGGCACCTGTGGAAAGGAAGGGAGCAGCCTCAGACGCTCACCTTGCAAGCAGCCCAGTATTTTACACTACAAAGGCCTGCCTGAACCCTGATAGCTTTATGGGTGGTCCCAGCCTTCTCCCCAAGGAAGGGGCCCTAGGAGAATCCTCTCTGTCCAGTGCCAAGTGGGCTCCCCAGTCTGATAACAATGGGCAATAAAACCTTGGGAGGAATTTTACCTGTTTCACACTCCTTTGTCCAGGAGAACAGGGTGGAGGGGAAGGAAAAGTAGTGGAAAGAACTGGACCCCACTCCCTTGCAAGCCCCAGTCTGGATACAGACTGCATGCTCAGCATCTCCCGAGACACCCACCTGGTCCATCAGGTGTATTCTCTCAGCTCAGCTCTCTGCGTGTGCTGAGATGCCCGCCTGACGTGCCGGGTGCATTCTCTCCACTGAATTATGTGACCTTGCTTACCTCCGTCTGGGTGGCACCATCTGGAAAGGCGCCCATCCGTTATGACGGATGCCCTACCCCATTAAACGTTGCTGCCTTGCTTACCACTGCTCTCTGCCCCGTGTCTGAGTTCCTTCTTCCGCGAATACAAGAAGTTCTCTTCTACCCATCTCTGCTAACACTAACAGGCAAGACTTTCTAGACAATAAGGCAAGAGCTGGGCAGGAGAACTTTGCAGGTCCTAGAGAGGCATTTGTGTTTCTCCCTATTTTCAAATGTGCTTCCCTTGGCCTAATGTTCTTTTCTTAGGAAGATTAAGGGTGGATCAACTCAAATTGCAGCACAGACACTTAACAGTAATGCAGGATTATGTTAATACTCTTAGTGAGTAATGACGAATGAGTCACACGTCAGACTGTGACAGAAAGCTGTGCTCCTCAAGCAAGAGAGGCCCAGTGCTGGTACATTATTCATCTCTGAAGCTTACATCCGGGTAACTGGATTCGGGAAGTTAATCTCTATTTTATTATAATTCCTTCTAATAGATTTTGGCCCCTTTTCTCCCCCCCTCCACTTTCACATATTGTCTGACTTATACACTCATGAAAATTCTTCTGCCTTTGGGCAATGAGAATTTTCTGCAAAAAGATACTCAATCTCATGTTTGCCAACTCACACAATTCAGGGAAGAGCCAGTGCTTTCTGCAAAGGTGTTTATTGGGGGTGATTCAACCAAGGAACTACTCCAAGAACCCAAATCCCAAGGAGCCAGGGATGGAGCACTCCTAGGAGGGCTCCAGGGAGCTGATGACCTACGGGAGCAAGGACCCAGACCTAGTTTTTGGAGAGCACAGAGAACTATCTGGGTCCCAAAGGATGGGATTAAAAATGAGGTGGTTGCCGGGGCTATGAGGCTGCAATGCGGACAGGCCTGAGGGCCTGGCTGGCTTCTGGGGGCAGGATAAGCTCCAGCCTGGGGCTTAGAGGTGAGCACCTGCCTAGGTGCTCCAGAGGACAATGACGGTGATGATGGAGCAGGCCATGAAGAGCAGGTAGAGGCGGAAGAGCAGGGTGTCCATCACGTGGCTGAACTGCACCCACAGCTCCACCAAGCACTGCTTCTGGGCCTCGTGGTCCGGCCGGGCCCTAGTCGGCTCAGGACACACACGCAGCTCTGCCTCCCTGGGACCTGGCACCTTCCCCACCAGCTCTCCTGGCTCCTTCAGGCCTGCGGAGGGGACACAGACTCAGCCGTGGGCTGCTGCGGTCGCTGGCGATGGAGGGTGACAGGGACAGTGACAGGAGCAGGGATGGAGGGGAGGGAAGAGGACATGAGGGTGGTGCTGACTTTTGTTACCTGGCAGGTGGGTGGGGCTGAGACCCAGGCTCTTACTGCCCTCCTGGGGTGCAGTGGGGCTTTGTTTTCTGGGGCTGGTGCAGTGCAGCAGCAGGGAGTGGAGCCACTGGGGCATGGGTGGGGGCTGCGTGGTGGCCAGGTGCAGCAGGTAGGTGATGAAGACAGTCTCCAGCAGGCTGGCCACCATCAGGGACAGACACAGGGCAAAGTAGACACCTGAGGAAAGGAAGGTGGGCCTGTGTGGGGGCCAGAGGCCGCACCCACCCTGCCTGGGCCTTCTTTGCCAGAGGACCTGTTTCCAGGACTCCTTTATACTGTGACCCGGTTTAGCTGGCCCCTATCCCCGCTCCACCCCTGCCCTGCCTGCATCCTCCATACTGATGAGGGGGGTGCCGGTGGCCGGGAGCAAGTCGTTCATCATGAGCAGGAAGACGTTGTAGCCCAGCAGCAGGGTCATCTTGAAGGGCGCGCGGTTCTCATATTCTGCCGGCAGGTAGAAGCTGAAGGCGTCGATGGCAACCAGAAAGCCACTGGGCACCAGGAGGTTTATGACAAAGAGGCTGGGCCTGCGCCTGATGGCCACCTGGGGTGGGAGGGAGAAGGAGGGGGCGAGTGAGGAGTAGGCCAGGGGCTGCCAGCTGCTAAGAGGGAGTGTTGGGCTTTGTCCCTGGCCAGACCCTCTAGCAAGGAAACGCCCCGTCTCTGCACCTGCAGACATCTCATAGGTTTGATTCTGCCATGCTGCTCATCACATCTCATCATTCTTGAGTCAGAGTGTCAGCCTTCTCCACTTAAATCGTTATCCCTACCGACACACACTTAGCACCGCGGGAGCAGATGCCTGGGTACCAGGTGCATTCTCTCTTTTTATTTCTGCCTGTTTTTCTTATCAAGGCCTATTCCCTAGTGACTCTGAAGGTAAACACTCAAGGCCAGTAGTGGAGAAAGCACACAGTGCTAGATATTTGGAGGATCCCCGTATCCCTTAGATGGTGATTTGTAACTTTTCCCATCCTCTCGTTTTAAAATTGAACATCCAAGCTGGCGCCGTGGCTCACTAGGCTAATCCTCCACCTTGTGGCGCTGGCACACTGGGTTCTAGTCCCGGTTGGGGCACCGGATTCTGTCCCGGTTGCCCCTCTTCCAGGCCAGCTCTCTGCTGTGGCCAGGGAGTGCAGTGGAGGATGGCCCAAGTGCTTGGGCCCTGCACCCCATGGGAGACCAGGAGAAGCACCTGGCTCCTGCCATCGGATCAGCGCGGTGCGCCGGCTGCAGCACGCTGGCCACGGTGGCCATTGGAGGGTGAACCAACGGCAAAGGAAGACCTTTCTCTCTGTCTCTCTCTCTCACTGTCCACTCTGCCTGTCAAGAAAAAACAAAAACAAAAACAAAAAAAACCTGAACATCCAGACTCCTGCCATCCTGCAGGTGCTGACAGCCCGTGGGGGATGGGAGGCACACCGGCCCTTTGAACCACTGGCATTGGCGCTTTGTTTGGAAAGATTTGTTTAATGAACATTTGCTGAGTCCCAGATATTGTTCTTGCACTGGAGATTTATCAGTGAAAAAGGGACACAAATCCCTGATGTGTGGGGCTCACTACTGCTGGGAGAGGACTTTCTCCAGGGGAGGACAAGGCTATGAGTCTTAGAAAAGACCAGCACCAGGGCCCCTGCACTCACATAGAAAGTGATTTGGTCGTACTGGCTGGTCCCCACACTCATCTTCTCCATGGTTTGGTGGATCCCCAGAAGCACCCACTCCCCCTCGCTCTGAATGAGGTTCTGTGATGTGTTGGAAACCTCCTGAATTTCCTTCTCCGTGCCCAGGACCAGGTGCTCCACTGCAAAGGAGACCCAGACAACTTAGCCTCCCCCAAAGAATCCCAAGCCCCTTGCCCAGACTCCCCGGTTCCTCACCACTTGGCTTGAGTGAGAGTCCCTCCCTGTCCCCAGCTTCCTCCCTTTTCTCACTCAGAACAAGGGCCTTTCAACAGTGCATGCTTTAACGAGCTCGCTCACCTGTGTGAATGAAAGAGCTAAAGGTGAGAGTGCAGTTCTGCTCATCAAAGGGGAAGTAGAAGATATCCAGGTGACAGATGCTGACTACCCGCATTGGCTTATTGTACTTGATGTGACCTTCGTTGCTGACATAAACCATGAGACCTGTAGGGGTCTGGTCCACATCCATGCTGTGGGTGACAAGGACAGGGAGGTCCCCATCTGACTTGGCCTTCTCTCTCAGGTCACCCCACTGCTGGGCTCCAGTGTCTCATTCCTGCGACATCTCCCTTCTCTACGTTCTGGGGATTGTAAAATACTCAGTTCAGATTCTGCTGTTTCCTGAGTCGTGTCTTTGTGGGGTGGGGAGGAGCCCTGTGGGTTACACTGTGCCCTTCTGTGCAGATGTGAGCTTCCGCTTGCTTTTTTTAAGCCCCAACACTCACAACTCCTCAATGTAGATATCTGGAAGCCATAGGTTCTCAGCCGCCAGGCTCAGCTTCTTAATGCCTCCACACTCATCCGGGTTCCACTGGATGAAGGGGTTGTGCCAGAACTAGAGGAAACGACGGCAGGAGGTAAATGGAAGGGGAGGGACCAGCTTATGTCTTGCTCTGCCTCCTCTGCTTTACTTCCTTATTTCATTTATTTCTACCCTCTCTCTGGTGACTGTGGTCAGAATATCACCGACGACGACATCTTACCGGCTTCTACTCTCCCTCAGTGTTCTCCAGGGAGACCTTGAGCTTGGTCCTGGATTCCCTGGGATGGAAGTCACTTAAGGATTGACTTTCCATGACTTTGGTTTGTGCCATCTTCTTCCTGCACCCACCTCTGCCCTCCTAGATTGATGGAATAATCAGGAGGTTTTGAGTGTCCGTTGTTCACCTGACTGTTTGAACTTGTCTAACTTGTGGATCTTCTCAGCTCATCTGGTGTAATCTGCAAGGTTGTACCCAGGAGTGGACAAAAAGGAGGAGCCACAGGAAGTGAAGAGGAAGCGGAGTCTGTCTTACCATATTTAGCCACAGGAATGATGTCATCAGTTGAAGCTGTTCATCCTGGAAAAAGAGTTTTCACCCAGGAATGTGAACTGTGGGAAGGCAGGTCCAGTGCCACTACCTGCATCTACTCATTGCCAAGACCACTCCATGTGATGCTTATGGCTTTTAATCATAAGCCACTGAAAAGCGTAACTCAAAATAATCCAGAGTGCATGGGAAGTGAAAATGAAAAACCCCGTAGGAGGGACCACTGGCATGTGTTCTTGTGGAGTATTCCAAAAAGGATGTCACATGCAGCGATGTCACTACATCATTCCCTGTCACATCTCCCACCCCATAGGATGAGCCTCTCATTAAAAAAAAAAAAAATCATTTCCATTTATTATTGTGCTAAAATACACATAACATAAAATTTACCCTCTTAACCATTTTAAGTGTGCAGTTCAGTGGTGTTAAGTACATTCAGATCATTCTGCAACTCTTACCACCATCCATCACTGGAATTCTTTTAAACTTGCAAACCGAAACTGTGTGCCCTTTACACAAAACTCCCTTTTTCTCCCAGCCCCTGGAAGCCACCATTCTGCTGTCTGTCTCTTCTCTAGTTACCTCATCTAAGTGGCACTCTACAGCATTTGTTGTTTTGTGACTGGTTTATTTCATTTAGTGCAATGCCCTCAAGGTTCATCATGCTGTAATGTGCGTCAGGATTTCCCTGCTTTTTAAGGATGGACAGTGTTCCACTGTATGGAGAGAATGCCTTCATCTGTCAGTAGACACTTGGATTGTTTCCTCATTTTAGCTTTTATGAGTAATTCTGCTACAAACAAAATTGTATGAATATCTCTTTGAGATCCTGCTTTTGACTCTCTTGAGTGTATATCCAGAAGTAGAATTGCTAGGTTGTACAGTAATTCAATTTTTAATTTTTTGAGGGACTGCCATGCTGTTTTCCATGGAGGGTGTGCCATTTTACATCTCCACCAACAAAGCAGAAGTTTTCCAGTTTCTCCACATTCTCACCTATACTTATTTTCTTTTTTTTTTTTTTTTTGGGGGGGAGTACTTTTTTGTTGTTGTTGTTGGTGGTGGTGGTGGTGGTAGTAGCCACCTTAATGGGTATGAGGTAGTATCTCATTGTAATTTTAATCTGCATCGCCTAAATGATTAGTGATATTGAGCATATTTTCATGTGCTTATTGGCTATTTGTATGTCTTCCTTGGAGAGCTAAATCCTTTGCATATTTTCAGATTGGGTTGTTTGTGGTTTTGTTGTGAGTCTCTGAGTTTACAACAGAGGACTCACTGCTCAGCACTAGACCATTGCAATGCTGGGCTGGGACTCACCACTTCCAGGATGGCAGACAGGGTGAAGGAGACGTTGACGTGAATGGGTAAGCTGTGGTTGGTGACTGGACGGAAGGCCTTTCTGTCAAACACTGCTTGGAAGACAGCAGGATCCACCCCGTGCCGGTCAAAGCCTGAGCAGTTGATGGCAGAATCGCCGCCTCTGCCTGCAGGGAGCAGAGAGCCTGTGAGAAGACTGCCAGAGCTGTGGCCTGGGACGTGCTTCCTTACAGAGGGAAAACAGGGGCCCTGGGAGAGGCCGGGGAGCTCCTCCTCCCTGGGCCAGTAGGCAAATGGCGGAAGTTGATGAGGTGAGCTCAGTCAAGGACTCATCCTCACTTCCATTGTTTCTGTCCCCATGCAAAACGTGCCCAGATCTGTATGCAAACTCAGCCTGGACCACCGCTTCACAGTGTCCTCATGTGCTGCCAGCGGTCTCCCTGCGACTTCTCCACCCTCACTCAGTGTCCTGCTGTTGCCCACCTGTGTGCTAGAGCCACCTGAGTGGTACCCGGACAAATTCTGCAATCACACTTCTCCTCCTCACTGCATTATTAAGGCACTGATGGTTGCAAGTTAATGACAGAGGAAGTCATCTGGGAGGTAATGTGAGACATAGGAGACCTTAAGGAATCAACTCCATTTTTATCATTTAATGAGTGTTTACTGTGTCTCTGTGCTGTGATTGCTCTCTAAAATTCAGTTGTCTTCCCCACTGAGATGATTTTAAAGAGTTCATTGATACCCATCTTATTATACCTAAACCCTCCTGGTCGTACTTTTTTGAGCACAAATATCTTCTGGCGGTCTATTTTTATCTATCTCTGACGCCATACTATCACTCATTGCCCATTTTCAAAAATGCGCAAGAAAAAAAGGCTGGAAAAATCATACGGAAAAAGCTTCCCTCTTTGACGACAGCCCTTCTCATCTACCTCCTGATCCCCTATGCATCTTTTCCGGCCCATTTCACTCGGCTTCAAGGAGCTGAGAGAGGATTTTCCTTTTCTTAATATCCATTGATACCCAGGGATAGGTTGGAAAAAGAAATGTGGGAGAAAGAGGCCAAAAGAAGTATGGGGAGTGGAGACATTTCCAAAAAGAAGCATCAACTACTTGTTGGGATCCCAGGAAGACACACAAAGCTATCAGGGGCATGAATTTCTGTTTTTACCAAAATGCATGCCCAGGCATTGACTATGTGGGAATAGCAAAGATCAGCCTGGCTGCTGTCTCCCAGGAGCCACAGGTGTGCTGTGTTCCAGCTCTCAGCCTGTCTTACCTTGCAGCAGCAGGTGGAAGAGAGAAGAGAGGAGCACTCCTCCCCCATGGGGCCAGGCTCTCTTCATCCTCCTCTCCTTGGCTCTTCTCTGGGGAGCTGGGGATGATGCTCACCTTTAAAGACCACAGGCCACACCTTGAGGCCCAGCTTTTCATAATGGTGTCAGGTGGCCTTGGGCACCTCCCTAACAAGCATCCCAGGTGACAATAGAATGTCACAGAGAAATAGCCCATCCTGCGTTCTAATTGGATCTGCACCTGGGCTCCAGAAGCAAGCTGGAAAATCAGCTTGGAGAAGAGCAGACACAGCTATTTGGTCCCTGGAGCAGTGCTACGGTCTCCTCGCACCTCAGAGACACTGTGGCATGCAGTGCATCACTGGAAAGGCGAGCATTGGCGGCCATCGCCTTCAAGCAGCACAGGCATTTGTTTTAGCTCTGCTGCCATCTTTCAAAACAAAGTGAGGTCGCCTTTACTCTCAGTAACTTCAGATGTTAAGGTTGTACTGTGGCTTCAGTACTGGCAAGTCTTAACATTGGTTTGTGTTTAATGTGTCAAATGCAGTTTGAATCCAAACCTATGGAGTGAAGGGAACTGGCAGAAGTAATACTCATGCTGTACAGGCTGTTAGATGCTGTTTCCAAAAAATTGTCTTTGCTATTTCGTGTTCAAATAAGTATAAGAAATGACCAATGAAACAAGGCTAAGCAAGTTTCATTAATGAAAGAGTTCTCAGAGTATTTAGCTAAAATGTTAATGTGACTTTTGGATATTAAATGCATAATTTCCCAAACTTAATTTACTTTGGAAATTCCTTTTTCTAGGCCGGCGCCGCGGCTCACTAGGCTAATCCTCCGCCTAGCGGCGCCGGCACACCGGGTTCTAGTCCTGGTCGGGGTGCCGGATTCTGTCCCGGTTGCCCCTCTTCCAGGCCAGCTCTCTGCTGTGGCCCAGGAGTGCAGTGGAGGATGGCCCAGGTGCTTGGGCCCTGCACCCCACGGGAGACCAGGAAAAGCACCTGGCTCCTGGCTCCTGCCATCGGATCAGCGCGGTGCGCCAGCTGCAGCGCGCCGGCCGCGGCGGCCATTGGAGGGTGAACCAACGGCAAAGGAAGACCTTTCTCTCTGTCTCTCTCTCTCACTGTCCACTCTGCCTGTCAAAAAAAAAAAAACAAAAAAAAACAAAAAACGGAAATTCCTTTTTCTTAGGCAATCTTTTGGGACTGGGATTTCACGGATTATTATTTTTTTTGAAGCATGGCTTTAGGTAAATAGAATAAATATAGAAGAAAAAGACTTTAAAAAGCTCAACTTGCTACAGGTAGACTATATAATTTAAGAAGCACACGAAGGGGTTGGTGCAGTGGCGCAGTAGGTTAATCTTCTCCCTGCAGCGCCAGCATCCCTTATGGGTGCTGGTTCGAGTCCCAGCTGCTCCTCTTTCAATCCAGCTTTCTGTTGTGGCCTGGGAAAACAGGAGAAGATGGCCCAAGTGCTTGGGTCTCTGCACCCACATGGGAGACCCAGAAGAAGCACCTGGATCCTGGCTTTGGATCAGCTCAGCTCCTGCTGATACGGCCATTTGGGGAGTGAACCAGCAGATGGAAGACCTTTCTCCCTGTCTCTCCCTTTCTGTCATAACTCTCTCAAATAAATGAATAAAAATTTTTTCAAAGCATATGAATAAATAAACCAAGAAATTGAAAACAAACTAAATAAAAAAACTATGTGTTTTATTTATTTATTTTTTGACAGGCAGAGTGGACAGTGAGAGAGAGAGAGACAGAGAGAAAGGTCTTCCTTTTGCCGTTGGTTCACCCTCCAATGGCCGCCGGGGCCGGCGCATTGCGCTGATCTGAAGCCAGGAGCCAGGTGCTTTTCCTGGTCTCCCATGCGGGTGCAGGGCCCAAGGACTTGGGCATCCTCCACTGCACTTCTGGGCCACAGCAGAGAGCTGGCCTGGAAGAGGAGCAACTGGGACAGAATCCGGTGCCCCGATCGGGACTAGAACCTGGTGTGCTGGCACCGCAAGGCGAAGGATTAGCCTAGTGAGCCGCGGCGCCGGCTAAATAAGAAACGATGTGTTTTGGAACCTGACGTTTGATAAGAAGGTAGACTCTATAAGCAGGTAGCGCTGCTCCCTGTGACACTGGTGTCCCATACAGGTGCCGGTTTGTGTCCCGGCTCCTCCACTTCCAATCCAGCTTCCTGCTAATGGCCTGAGAAAGCGTCGGAGGATGGCCCAAGTGTTTGGGCCCCTGTCACCCACGTGGGAGACCCGAAAGAAGCTCCTGGCTCCTGGTGTGGGCTTGGCTCTGCCCTGGCCATTGCAGTCATCTGGGGAATGAATCAGCAGACGGAAGATCTCTTTCTTTCTGTCTCTCCCTTTCTCTCTCTAACTATGACTTTCAAATAAATAAATGAATCTAAAAGGAAGAAAGAAAGAAAAAATTACAAGCAAATAGAAAATGCCAGTGTAATAAAATTAAAAGTTAGAACAGGTGCAAGTTTCAAGCTGTCTAAAACCCTGACAAATATAACCTTAGATTGACTCAAGGAGGAATCTTCTTTTTTTCTTTTCTTTTATTTAGACCAATGACCAGCCAGCTGTAGGCCACATACATCCACCTGGATTTAATTTTAGGGTGAGAGTTTAAAAAGATTCTTTGGTTTTGGTACTTCTCCAGTGTGTCCACATAGTAACATCAGGAGCTGGAAGGCACTGCTGATTTGGTCTATTATAAATAATAAAGTACATAATTTGTGTTTTAAGAACACATGCGGGCCGGCGCCGTGGCTCACTAGGCTAATCCTCCGCCTAGCGGCGCCGGCACACCGGGTTCTAGTTCCGGTCGGGGCGCCGGATTCTGTCCCGGTTGCCCATCTTCCAGGCCAGCTCTCTGCTGTGGCCAGGGAGTGCAGTGGAGGATGGTCCAAGTGCTTGGGCCCTGCACCCCATGGGAGACCAGGAGAAGCACCTGGCTCCTGCCATTGGATCAGTGCGGTGTGCCCGGCCGCGGTGGCCATTGGAGGGTGAACCAACGGCAAGGGAAGACCTTTCTCTCTGTCTCTCTCTCTCACTGTCCACTCTGCCTGTCAAAAAAAAAAAAAAAAAAAAACAACAAAAAAAACACATGTTTTGGGGACAGTGCTGTGGCATAGCTGGTTAAGTTGCTACTTGGGATGCCAGCATCCCATACAAGTATCTGTTCAAGTTCTGGCTGCTCCACTTTCAATACAACTCCCTACCTATGCATCTGAAGAAGGAGGGGAAGATGGACCAAGTACTTGGGACCCTGACGCCCATGTGGAGGATACGTTAAATTATCCTTGTTACCATTTAAAATCATAAAAGTATAATTCCGACCTAAGAACAAATAATTTATGTAAAGATACAGTATTCCTTTTGTCCTGTGTATTAAATACAGTGATCTAGTCTTTAAAGTTTTTTGTTGACAGGAAAATAATTTTTTTAAGATTTATTTATTTATTTATTTAAAAGACAGTGTTACGGGGTGGGGGGGGGGAGATAGCATTTCCATGTACTGGTTCACTCCTTAAATGGCTGCAATGGCCAGGGCTGGGCCAGGACAGGTGGATGCCCCAGAGCAGAGCCTGCTGACCAAGAGGCACAGTCGTGACTCACCTTACTGTCAGACCTGAGTGGCTAAGGAACTGCCTCCATCACCTCTTCCCCAAGCTCTGACAGCAAGAAGTAAGACTTCCACCAGGGGGGAATAGGGCAGGAAAGTGAGCTCAGGGCTTTGGTTGGAAGCTCTGAGCCAGTCCCACTGCAGTGAGACCCAGCACCCGACGGAGAGTAGAGGTCCCTGTCTCCAGACCAGTACTTGCACACAGAGTCTCCAGACTTCCTCAGCGTCAGGTGGGGACCTGGACCCTGGTGGGAGGGATGAGGATTTCAGCCATCACCCCCAGCCTCTTGTGGGCTTTGTGAGCCCTGTAGATGCCAGATTCAGATGCAAACCCAGTTTAATGTCAGCCTTGGCTTGGACAGCCAAGGGACTGCCTTCACTAGCCCTCCCCCAACCATGGTCAGACAGCAAGAAGCAGGACTCCAGCCACTATAGAACAGGGCACCAAAATGAGCACAGGGCTGTGTCTTGGACATGGTAAATCCATCATTGGGTAGTTACTAATGGTCCCTGTCCTCAGGCCAGTGCCTGCACATGGAGCCCCTGGACCTGCCTTGTGGTCCGCAGTCAATTAGACATATATCCTGGCCAACATCACCTGTGGTTGGTTGCAGTGGCCTTGGGCTGCAAGTCAACCCACAGCAAGTATGCCTTGGCTCTGCCTTGTGCTACACTGGTCTTGGTGGGCTATGGGCTCCAGGTGTGCTGCATTGTGGCATAGGTGGCTGAAGGACAAGTCTTTTCATTCCTCTCCCAACTCTAGGCAGCGTAACAGGGAGAGAGTTATTGAATAAAGAGAGTAACTGAAGAAAAGGTAGGGCCTGGCATGGTGATGTAGTAGGTTAAGCCTCTGCCTGCAGCTCTTGCATCCAATATGAGTGCCAGTTCAAGTCCTGGCTGCTCAATTTCTGATCCAGCTCTCTGCTTATGGCCTGGGAAAGCAGCAGCAGATGGCCCAAGACCAGGAAGAAGCTCCTGACTCCTGGCTTCGGACTGGCCTAACTCCGACCATTGCGGCCATGTAGTGAGTAAGCCAGTTGATAGAAAACCTTTCTGGCCGGCGCCGTGGCTCACTAGGCTAATCCTCCGCCTTGCGGCGCCGGCACACCGGGTTCTAGTCCCGGTCGGGGCACCAGATTCTGTCCCGGTTGCCCCTCTTCCAGGCCAGCTCTCTGCTGTGGCCAGGGAGTGCAGTGGAGGATGGCCCAAGTGCTTGGGCCCTGCACCCCATGGGAGACCAAGAGAAGCACCTGGCCCCTGCCATTGGATCAGCTTGGTGCGGCGGCCACAGGGCGCCAGCCGTGGCGGCCATTGGAGGGTGAACCAATGGCAAAGGAAGACCTTTCTCTCTGTCTCTCTCTCTGTCCACTCTGCCTGTCAAAAAAAAAAAAAAAAAAGAAAAAAAAGAAAACCTTT